AGGCAAGCAAGGAAGGGTCTCAAGAAAGCAGTGAAAGGTACCAAGTGTGGGAGAGCTGTTAAGTAAGCTAAAAAGCCAAGGTGTCCAACTGGGAAGGTCACTGGTTCCCACAGGAGAGTGCCTGGATTCAAGTCCCCACTCCACTTCCAATTTCCAGCTTCCTGCTAAGGCACATCCTCAGAGGCAGCAGGCGGCTCAGCAACTGGGTTCCTTCCACCTACGAGGGAGATCTGGATTGGGTTCTAGGCTCCTGGCTTCTTCCTGGCCCAGCCCCGGCTATTCCAAGTATCCAGGGAGTGAAGCAGCATATGCAAGATTTCTCTTTGTCTCAGTCTCTCTCACTCTTCCTTTTGAAAAAACTAAAATAAATACTCAAAAATTTTAAGTTCTCTGTTCAAACTCCCCAGCATTATCTATCTGAGGGCAACTGCATCATCCTTTAGGAGCACTAGATACTTTACTTCAATCTTTATCAATGGGATAGATTAAAAAGGATTTCTCATCTTAATCTGTAAATCTTTGGTTAGTAATGAGAATAAACACTTCAAATATAATTTTTTTTCTCCTATATACTTTATTTTGTATTTTTTAAAAAATTTATTTATTTACTTGAGAGGCAGAGTTACAGACAGAGAGGTCTTCCATCTGCTAGTTCACTCCCCAAATGACGGCAATGGCCAGAGCTGGGCTGATCCGAAGCCAGGAGCCAGGAGCTTCTTCCAGGTCTCCCACGTGGGTGCAGGGGCCTAAGCACCTGGGCCATCTTCCACTGCTTTCCCAGGCCATCAGCAAGAAGCTGGATCTGAAGTGGAGCAGCCAGGACTTGAATTGGTACTTGGCATGGGATGCCGGTGCTGCAGGCAGATGCTTAACCTACTACACCACAGCACCAACCCCTATATTTTTTATTTTTAATTGACACAATTGTACACATTTATGGGATAGTATGATATTTTGATATATGCATTCAATGTGTAAGATCAAATCAAGGTAATTAGCATATCTATCACCTCAAACACATTGTTTCTTTGTGTTGAAAACGTTCAAAATATCTCTTCAAGCCATTTTGAAATATTCAAAAAATTCTTGCTAACTGCAGTCACCCTACTGTGCTATAGAAAATCAGAACTTAATCTTCTCATATATGTTTTTGTATACATTTAAATATGTTCCTTTTCATTTTTGGTTAATTAATTTATTTCAGAGATAGAGATGGAGATCTTCTATCTGCTGGTTCACTCCCCAAATGCCCACAACAGCCATGGCTGGGCCAGGCCAAGTCAGGAACCTGAAACTCAATTTGGAGCCAGCACTGTAGCAGGTAAAGCCACCACCTGCAGTGTAGGCATCCCATATGGGCATCGGTTTGAGTCCCAGCTGCTCCACTTCCAATCAGGCTCTCTGCTATGGCCTGGGAAAGCAGCAGAAGATGGCTCAAGACCTTGGGCCCCTGTACCCGTGTGGGAGACCAGGAAGCTCCTGGCTCCTGGCTTCGGATCAGCCCAGCTACAGCCATTGCAGCCACTTGGGGAGTGAACAAGCAGATGGAAGACCTCTTTCTCCCTCCCCCTGCCTCTCAAATAAATAAATAAATAAATCCTAAAAAAAATTAAAAAAAAAAAAAAACGCAATTTGAGCCTCCCACATGGGTGTCAAAGACCCAAGTACTTGAAGCATTACCTGCTGCCTGCCATGGTACACATTTAGCAGGAAGTGGGAATCAGAAGTGGAGCTGGGACTCAAGTTCTGTTTCTTTTAATTTCTTTTTCTTTCCTTTAAAGACTTATTTATTTATTTATTTATTTATTTGAAAGGCAGAGCTACAGAGAGGCAGAGGCAAAGAGAGAGAGGTCTTCCATCTGCTGGTTCATCCCCCAGATGGCTGCAACGGCTGGAGTTGCACCGATCCGAAACCAGGAATCTAGAACTTCTTCCACACCTCCCACGCGGGTGCAGAGGCCCAACGACCTTGGGCCATCTTCCACTGCTTTCCTAGGCCACAGCAGAGAGCTGGATCAGAAGTGGAGCAGCCTGGACTCGTACTGGTGCCCATATGGGATGCCAGCACTGCAGACTAGGACTTTAACCTTCTGTGCCATAGTGTCGGTCCCCCTTTTATTTTCTTATTTTTGGAACTCCCTGTTTATGACCTTTATTCATCTTTTTGTTAGGATTTTTTTTAACAAACTGATATGAAAAAGCCTGATAAATTAAAACATATAACAAAAGTGTCTGTCATGTTGGTTACATGTTCCCATAGTTTGAACACACATGGCTCCTGATCTTTAATTTCCATGGCAAAAGCTCCAAATTGGGGGCTGGTATTGTGCAGCAGGTTGAGCAGCCACCTGAGATGCCAGCATCTGATATGAGCACCGGTTTGAATCCTGGCTGCTCCGCTTATAATCCAGCTCCCTGCTAATGCACCTGTGGGAAACCTGGATGGAATTCCAAGCTCCTGGGTTTGGCCTGGCCCCAACCTGACTGTTGTGGCCATTTGAGTAATGAACCAATGGATGGAAGATCTCTTTCTCTCTCTACCTCTCTTTCTTTCTCCTTCCCTCTTTTTCTGTCTCTCTTTCAAATAGATAAATAAATAAATTTAAAAAAAAAAGCTCTACACTTTTCTAAAATGGAATGGATACAACCTAACACCCACCAGAACCACCTATAACAACTCTCCCTCTGCATCTTTATACACAATCTATTTACCAGGATGCTGTTTTCAAATTTCAAGACTGCCCAATGAGCCAACATGCAATGCTTAGCCAAGTGCTAGACTGGTAAATATAGAAAGACTCAGAGTTGCTTCTTCTTCCCCTGCACTTGGTCCTTTCGTTCATTTATGATTAACAAAAAATAACTGTACATATTTATAAAAACAGTGTAGCATTTTAATACAATTATTCAATGTGTACTAATCAAATCAGGTTAATTAGCCTTTCCATCTCCATGTCCTTTCCTTTTGTTTGGAGACTCTGAGCTCCTTTCTACTAATTCTTCATAAAGTAGATAATAGATTCTTTTGAACTATGACCACCTGCTGTGCTACAGAACACCAGAACTAATTCCCTCTATCTAACTGTGTTTTGGTACCCTTTATCCAACCTCCCTCTACTCTCCCTGCCCACCACACCCTTCCCAGCCTCTGGTTATCGCTACTCAACATTCAGATTAACTTTTTTAGCTTTCACATTATGAGACAGAACATGCAGTATTTGTCTTTCTGTGCCTGACTTAGTTCACTTAACATCATGTTCCCCAGCTCCATCCATTTTGCTGCAAATGTTGGCTGACTAATACTCCATTGTATATATAAATATACACTGCAGTTTTTTTTTTTATGCATTCACCCACTGATGGGTACCTAGGTTGATTTCACATCTTGGCTGTTGAGAACAGTACAGCAATGAACATGAAAGTGAAGATATTACTTTGATATGCTCATTTCCTCTCCCTTGGATATAAAGCCAGAAGTAGGACAGGCGAATCATATGGTAGATCTACTTTTAGTTTTCTGAGGACCCTCCATACTATTTCCCACAATGCTATACTAATTTACAGTCTCATCAAATTCATAAGAGTTTCCCTTTTTTCCACACCCTTGCCAGCACGTGTTTTCTGTTTTTGCTTTTGTTTTGGCTTTTTGACCTCCCTTGTACTTTGAATTTCTCAAGTGGCCTTCCAAAAAACCACCTATGCCTGCCGGGCAGAGCAGCAGAAGACAAACAGCAGACTCTAGAGCGGACAAACCTGGATTTAGAATCCTGGCTCTGAAATGTTCTTACTGTGTGACCTTAGTCAAGCCATTTTTGTCTCTGGGCCTCAACTTCCTTTTCTATAAAATGAAAATAAAACTATCTGTTTTAGAGTTCTCGTGAGGAATAAATGAGATGCATAATGTTTATAATCAGGAGCCTGGCATGTGACAGGTGTGGTTTTCCTGCTCTGATGGTGCTAAATCAGTTACTTACTTAATTTGAATGACTTTATATAAAATGTTGGCTTGAAATAGTCAGCTGTCCCAGCAAAGCATCAACCAGGGTAAAAAGTATCCAGGTCAGCTTTCTGTCAACTGCCATTTCCATTGCTATAATTATGTAATCACTAACCACCACTCAGAACAACAAAAACCACAAAGCTGATGCTACTGAAATTGCTAAATGCAGTAATTACTTGGTTCTCAAGATCATGACCACCAATCCTTTAGGAAAGCAATAGAAACCTTTATAATTATAGGAGCAAAAGGCTGACTAGTTATCACAGACAGTGGTCTCTATAGCAGAAGGCTTTTGGTCACTGGGCAGAATGGCCGTGTATTCAGAAGTCCTTTCTCAAATTGCTGTTTTCTCACACTCCATACTCTGAGAGGCACAATGTCAACAAAAGAACTCAAAGAAGAAAAGACAGAAAGAAAGGACATTTTCTCTGAAATGTAGCCTTCTTGGCACTGATTCCTGGCAAGAGGCTCTAGCAGGATGAAGGAGGAAGGCAAACTCCACGAAACCTAGAAACATAGCCCTTCTGCACAGAAAAAGCAAGGAGCACAGGCGCCCTGTAAGAGGAGGCTTCTTTAGAAAAGGAAGCAAAACATTTATTAATAACCTAAGTTCATGCTGACCACTAGTCCTCAAATCAAGTGATGGAGTAGATCTTACCCCTCCTCAGAGACACTATGAGGTGACCTGCCAAGGTTTTATAGTCATTAAACAGAAACATCCAGTTCCAGGACCCAGGTATGTCCAACTCTGAAAGATTTTTTCTTTTCACCACATCTTTATCAAATCTCAAAATGATTACACCCATTTCCCCTTATGAGATAGAATCTGATTTAAACTTTGGTTCTAAAAGTAAACAAACCCAACAAAGTATCCACCAAAAAGATGCTATTTCTGTTAATCAGCATATTGTTTTTCTGCCTCTTAACAGCGTTGAAAGTTGACTGAGGGACTCACACAGAGTGCCCTTCTTTTATCTAGAATCTTCAAAGAAAATGGTACCTGTTGACAACCACAGAGCGCTGAAACAGAAGCAAGCATAACACAGGTACAAGCTTCTCAACCACTTCACGGTTGACTGCCAACAATATCCTGATAAAATCCAGGAAGCAGGAACTGGCATCACTCCCAGCCTCTTCTCCATGGCCTTCCAGATGAGCAGAATCAGTACACTAGAAAGACAGAAAGAGAAGAAATGATATGCCAAGTAATTAATAATTGATTCCTGGAAATGTGGAGTGCTAGAGAGCGTGACAGGCTGCGGAGAAGAGAAACTTCAAATTCGTCTTTCAGTGCTCATCCCTGCCCATAAATGTTAAACCTGTGCTTTGACATAGCCTATAATTATCAGAATAACAACATAAGGATATGAAATGAATCTACCTTAAAACTGAAACACTTTGTGTTCCATTATAGTCTAACAGTAATTTATCTACGTGGCAGAATGGAAAAAGCACCACACCTGAGTTCAAGTTCCAGTTCTGCTACTAACAGCTTTGTGACTTTGACCAAATACTCTATGAAAAGAAGAGGCTGGACCTCTTTTAACTAAATCAACCTGAGGATTTTATCTGGCCCAGTATTGTTAAATTGTTTCAATGGGATTGGTTTATTAAAATAAATTATTTATTTATTTTGAAAGAGAGAGAAAGAGACAGAAAGAGATCTTCCATTTGCTGGCTCACTCCCCAGATAGCCACAATGGCCAGCGCAGGGCCAGGTCAAAGCCAGGAGCCAGAACTTCATCCGGGTCTTCCACGTGGGTGGCACGTACCCTAATACTTGGACCATCTTCTGCCACTTTTCCCAAGCCATTAGCAGGGAGCTGGATCACAGCGGAGCAGCCGGGACATGAACCAGTACCCATGTGAGATGCTGGCATCACAGGCAGCTGTTATACCCACTCTACCACAATTCCAGCTCCAATGGGATTGATGTTTACACAGGACATGCAGCCTCCAGTGTGCTACTGTCCTCCCCCCCCCTTACACACACTACTATCTTTAAAATCTACCCAATTTATATTTCCCTGTTACTCCCTCCTCTCCCTAAGAGTCATTTAGAATTCCTGCTTTAAATTCATACACACGTTCAACAAATATTTATGTCAAGCACTGTGCTGGCTACTTTAGAATCTAGGAGCTGGACGATTTAGGTCCCTTCCAGTAGAAAAACTGATTTTTCCAGAAGTTTCTGCCTGTTTACACAACGTGGCTATATACTGTATAAGTTACATAAAGCATAGCAACATTATGAGGGTTGGATGAGTTCTAAAGTGGCTATTCAAACATCTATCCTAAATATGCACCCATCCTCCACATCCGGCAAATGGCACAGGCTCACAACCGCTTGGCCAGCATGTACAGAGATTAGCACTGCCTGCACGGGATATCAACGCAAACACCAGGAAGCAGACACACACAGCTGCAAAACTGAGGTGCAGCCCACCCAAGAAAAAGTTTCCACTGAGCCATAAGCATCTGTCAGACTCCATTTTTCTCATTCACTACCATCCATTGCTATTTCTAACTGTTTTGGAGTTGGAAGTGAGGGAGCAGGGCGGGATGGAGTAGAAAGGAGGTGTGTGGGCCAGACCCGTTCAAGAGATCATGAAATGGAGCTGAGTTAGAAAGTACACCCAGCAACTTCTCCACTCTCCCAAGAGAGAATGGGGGAGTGTGCCCGTGTGTATGTATCTTACCCAACACATATTACTGCCTACCACAGGATTTAAAACTCAAGGTGACTCAACACCTGTCATCAATAGCCTGGCAGGTAGGAGGGCAACGCAGAAAAGAAGTGGATAGGTTTTGAAAACAGGCGTAATAAACACCATTGGACTAGCAAGCTGATTACAAGGGCAATGTCTTACAAATGGTGCATAAGAACAGCAGCTAATATCATGGGAACTCCCAGTCATTCCTCTGAAACCTGCAACTGCCGAAGGGCACAAATCCCTGCTAGGGTCCAGGCAAAGGCTTGCTGACCAGAAGCAGGAACAACACCACACCACCAAGATCCAAACAGTTTGTTATCAAATCAAAGGGTAACAACCCAGGGAGAGAACACACACCCCCACAACACTTGACAAATGAAAATCTCAAAGCTCCCGATGGTTCTGGCATTTAGGGCGTTACAAGTACACCCGAAATAAAAGCACTCTCTGTTGCAGCAGCTGTTCAGACAGAGCAGGGGGTAATGTTTACTTAATACTTCAGGTTGATGGGGGATGTATCATAGTTCAGTCTGTCAGCTACATACGTGGAACTCCATTTATGTACACAGCGATAAGATATGTTTGAATAACGACAGCGCACGTCTGAAACAGCCTATTTAGCTGGTATGAGTAATCAAGAATAAAGCTTTAAAGAAAAAAGTCTCGGATATTTGGGAAAGTCACAGAACAGACTGCCATGAATAGCTTTGCTTATATTTGCAGACATTGTTTTCCAAATAGCTGGAAAAATGAACAGATTGTTCTGGGAGGTTGTCTTTCCAGTTTGTTCCTAGTTTCCAGACTGTTCGTCACACAAGAAAGCACAAGGCGAGTCGGCTAATGCTCTTCACCAATTGCATCTACGGTCGGCTGGGCACAACCACCCCGAAGTGAGAGCAGACAAAGCATTCCTAGCGCCACGCCTGAGGTTTTCCATTTGGCTTCCCTCATGTCACCTCTGTGCTCACTGCAGCCGCATCAGAACCCTCGGAGGGGCATCGTTTACAAAAGCCTCAATGAGGCAGGTTTCGCATCAGATGTTCCACATTGTGCTCAATATCCCCCCGCACACGCCCTTATTCTGCATCAACTTCTATCTCGGGGGTGGGGGATGGGGGGTGGGGGGTGGGAGGGAGACCCAACACCAGGGACGGTAGCTCAGGGCCAGGCTGCAGAGGTCGAAGGTGGACGAGCCCGACTGTTTGTAAAGAGACGGAGGGAGCTGCATGATCAGGCCCGGACACGAAAGAGTCGGGCTCCTGCCGGGGACCCAAGCTCCGCGCCTGCAAGGCCAGAAACAGCAGGCTGCTCTGCCCGAGCCAGGAGCGCCACCTCCGGGTCCCAACACCCGGCCAGCGCAACCCCAGACATCGCCCGTCCCGCCTGCCCTCCCCTGAGCTCATGGTCCTCGGCCCGGCAGCCAGCCGCCCCCGGCCACCTACCGGGGCTCACGGCCACATAGCGGGGCCCCGGCTCTCGGCGGCCTCCGCCTCCTTCCGGTCCATGGGCTCGGGGCCCCCAACCTTCGCTCCCCTCACCCCGAGAAGGAGGAAGAGGATGAAACCAGTGCGGCTTCCCCACCCGGACAGCTCCCTCTCGCCTCAGCCTCCCTGGACAGCGACGGAGGCCGGAAACGCAGCCTCCTCCCACCTTGCCGGGCTCAACCCGGAAGCACACCCTTCCATGCCCACCCCCGGAAGCGCAATTCAGCCGCGAGCCGGAGGGGAGGAGGGGCTGTCTAGAAGGGATAAGATTACGCACAGACGAAGGACTCTGGGCCCCCAGACTCTCGCCTCCCGCTCTCCAAAGGAAGTCTACACCCTGGTCCTTTGCACGAGCCCCAAGTCCCAGACTCGGGCAATACCCACAAGCAAGATGGCGGTCACGGCGGCTGCCCCTGCGGCTTAGCGCCCAGCCGTGCCATTGGCCAGCGCCCGGAGTGAAGCGGCCACGGATTGGTCGAGAGCGCTGCGGGGGTGGGGGTGGAGCTGCAGCAGCCCGGAGCCCGGAGTGGGCAACGCGGCGTGAGCAGCGGCCCCAGGCTCCTGGAGCATCGCGCCCGGAGGAGACTTCGCTGCTGCTCGGGGCCGCAGCCTGGTGAGCTCAGCCCCCTTCAGACCCTCCCGTGCATCCCAGCCAGAGCCTCTCGGAGCCGGCGCTGATCGATGCCGACACACCCTGGGGACCCTATCGCGACTCCATCGCGCCATATCGCGACATCATCGTGCCCTGTCAAGACTCCATTTTGTCACAGCCCTTTTCAGTATATATCTTTCTAAAAATAATTTGCCCTGTCATCTTCGGGGGCTGCCCCCCCATGTCGTGATTTTTGCTGTGATCTCTCCGTGACATCACCGCGCCATCGTGAAGTGTGATCTCATCGCTGCTCTGTCGTGACTTCATCAATGTCGTGTTGTGACCTGGCTGCGGCGGGACAGGTGGTGACCGCCAGGAACCCTCCTCCCTCCTCATCTCCCCATCTCAGCAGCCCCGCTTTGATTATCCGGCTCTTGGATTCTCTGTTGTCCCGGGAGCTACCTGGGACCCCTCCTTGCTTCTCCAGCCCCTGCCGGCACCCACAGGCTGGGAGTGGGATGGGGAGGGCGGGCAAGGGGTTAATTCTGCCGCTTCTGCTGCTTCTGCCGCTGCCGCCGCCGCTGCTGCTGCTGCAGCCTCTGCCCGAGGGAGGGAAAGGAGAGGAGGCAAGGAGCCTGCGGGGGCGGCTGAGAGTTCTGGCTGGAGGGGTGGGGTCCCCGGAGGGGCCCCCAAGCCTTCCCTGCTGAGACCTCATATTCTCACTGTTGCTGAAGCCCAGGACGCCCTTTCCCGACCCCCCACCCCACCGTGTCAGCCTGAGTCCGGATAATCGAACTTCTCGTGAACCATCTGTGTCTCCATTCCTTCCTGTCTGTCCTCCCCGCTCATTCCCTGTGTGCCTCTGCCGAACCTGGCCTCTGGTGCCAGGGGCCAGCCCCCTCCCACCCCAGGAGACTAGTGAGGAGAGCTGTCCAGCTTAACAGCTCTTCTCTCCCACTTCCTGTAGGTGACCTTGGACCTGGGTCCCTTCTTCATCCCTAGAGATTTGCAGGTCCAGCCCCCTAGAAGAGCTCCCCTAAGGAGGGGTCAGTCCTGAGGAAGCCACCCCTCCAGATCCTCCCCTCCCCTCCCTCTGTGCTAATCCCTCCCTGCATCCTCCACTCCCACCCCCACCCCCACCTCCGCCCCTCCTCTGCAGAGGGATGCTCAGTCCCTCTTGTGTTCACAGTTGGGCAAGGCGGGCATCATGGCCTCGGATTGTGAGCCAGCTCTGAACCAGGCAGAGAGCCGAAACCCCACCCTGGAGCGCTACCTGGGAGCCCTCCGTGAGGCCAAGAATGACAGCGAGCAGTTTGCAGCCCTGCTGCTAGTAAGGAACTGGCTGAAATTGGGAGGTGGGAAGGGCTGGGTGGTTGGGCCCCCAAGGAATGGGGTCAGTGAGTCCCCAGGGATATGCAGGTGGTGCTGGCAGCCCTGGAGGCAGCAAAGAAGGCCCAAGACCCCTATCTTTGTACTTTATTCTTTTCTTGTTTTTACTTCCCCGAGGATGTGCGCAGAAGGGATAAAGGGGGTGAATAAAGCAGTGGCAGCACTGGGGGCCTTGGAGGAGGCTGCCTGGATCTGCTTTCCGGGGCGTCCCAGAGCAGATGGGAGCTGACTCATAGGGTAACAGCAGCAGGTAGTAATGTGCAGAGTTTTCGAGGGCTGGGGATGGTTGTTCTGGAGAGTCACAGGACTGGAGGTGACTGGGGAGGGGTCCCAGGGGATGGTCAGGACAGCAGAAGGTAGGTTAAGGTAAGGGAGTGGGTTCAGAGCTCAGCCTATTGGAGGAACCCAGGCTGGGGACAGCAGAGCAAGAGCTGCAGTGCTGGGGGGGGGGGGGGGGTGTTGATGTGGGGGGGTGCAGGGAGGAGGGAGTACAGCCGCTGCTTGTTTGCCATGGCAACAGGGAGAAGGCTCTGGAGTCAAGGGCTCACACTGCAGCAGAGGAGGTGTTTAGGTGAAATGTAAGGGGAAATGTTTTGACAGGCAGAGCGGCAAGACACAGGAGCCATTTCCCCCGAGAAGGTGGCGGAAACGGCTCAGAGACTTCTCTGGAGGGAGCAGTTAGGGAAAGACCCCAAATCTTTGGGGGACTTGAAATACTGACTTCTGAGCCCCTTCCAGCCCAGTCTGTGGGCATCTAGATGAGGCTTCCGAAGAACTGCACGGGCCAGGTGGTGAAATGCCCAAGTGAGTGGCTGAAGAGGGTTAGACCCTTCCTCCCCTGGCATAATCCTAGCTGAAAGGGCTCTCAGAGGTCACCCCTGTCCCTCCAAGGAGAAAGGGGAGCTGGAGGAGATGACCCCAGAGTGAGTTCCGTTGCATAACCCAAGCCTGCTAGCCCTCAACACCCCAGGGTGCAAGGAAGGCACAGTCTCTGCTACTTCTTCCGTTTCTCTTGCTGATAGCACATACTCCTCTCCACGTAGGTGACCAAGGCAGTCAAAGCAGGTGACATCGATGCCAAAACCCGGCGGCGGATTTTCGACGCCGTCGGCTTCACCTTTCCCAATCGCCTCCTGACCACTAAGGAGGCACCGGATGGCTGCCCCGACCATGTTCTCCGGGCCCTGGGCGTGGCCCTGCTGGCTTGCTTCTGCAGCGACCCTGAACTGGCTGCCCATCCCCAGGTCCTGAACAAGATCCCTATCCTTAGCACCTTCCTGACAGCCAGGGGCGACCCTGATGACGCTGCCCGCCGCTCCATGGTCGACGACACCTACCAGTGTCTGACAGCTGTAGCAGGCACCCCCCGAGGGCCCCGGCACCTCATTGCTGGTGGCACCGTGTCTGCCCTGTGCCAAGCATACCTAGGGCATGGCTATGGCTTCGACCAGGCCCTGGCACTGCTGGTAGGGCTGCTGGCTGCTGCCGAGACACAGTGCTGGAAGGAGGCGGAGCCCGACCTACTAGCCGTGTTGCGGGGTCTCAGCGAGGATTTCCAGAAAGCTGAGGATGCCAGCAAGTTCGAGCTCTGCCAGCTGCTGCCCATCTTTCTGCCCCCGACAACCGTGCCCCCTGAATGCCTCCGGGATCTGCAGGCTGGCCTGGCACGCATCCTGGGAAGCAAGCTGAGCTCCTGGCAGCGCAACCCTGCGCTGAAGCTGGCCGCTCGCCTGGCGCATGCCTGCGGCTCCGACTGGATCCCGGCGGGCAACTCCGGGAGCAAGTTCCTGTCCCTGCTGGTAAACCTGGCATGCGTGGAGGTACGGCTGGCACTGGAAGAGACGGGCACGGAGGTGAAAGAGGATGTGGTGACTGCCTGCTATGCCCTCATGGAGTTGGGGATCCAGGAGTGCACCCGCTGCGAGCAGTCACTGCTTAAGGAGCCCCAGAAGGTGCAGCTCGTGAGCATCATGAAGGAGGCCATCGGGGCCGTCATCCACTACCTGCAGCAGGTAAGGGGGTAGTGGCCCACAGAGGGAGCCAGAGCGGGAGCCACCCGGTGAGGGGAAAGGGGGTCACGGAGAGATGGCGCAGCTGCAGGTGCACGCGGCTACCGCAGCCAGCACTCTGGGGAGTAGTGTGTGACCGAGTCTCCCTCCCGCTCCCTCCCGCCCTGAGCCTGCACACAAGCACCATACCACACACCATATGTGCACTCGCATCCCAGCATGCCACACGCGCACACGCAACACGGTAACCTCCCACTCACAGCGCTCCCCGGATAGACACACACTACACGGCACACACCAAGTCAAGGAGTCTGTTGCGCTTACTCCAGCATTGTTTTACACACACGCATGCACTTGTCATGACGCAATGAAAGGCTCAGGGCTGCCTGGTGCCTGCCTCTGCAGAGGTTCTGCTGAATCCGTTTGACTGCCCCCCCCCCCATCACGTCTCTTCCTGTCTGAGCAGCCAGCCATCCTGTCCCACAAGGATTCAGTCAGAACCGTGATCTATTTAACGGCCGGCCCCAGCCACTGAACTCACCAGCCATATATTCCACACAGTGCACTCGGCGCTCTTGCCCATTTTCCAGTTCCTCCCACTGCGCGTGTTTACACAGTAGCCGGAAGTCCATCCCCCTGGCCTGGATCGGAGCTGCAGTCCAGGAGGGTTTGCTCGGCTTTTACCTGTGGGCTTCCTCCTAGCCTTGAGCTGCTTTAGAGCTGGGGAGATGGCGTTGCGACTGCAGTCTCAGCCAGGGCAGGGGTGGAGCCTGTGAGGTCCAGCTCCGCCGGCAGATGCACACTGAGGGCCTGCTCTGGGTCAGGCCCCTGCCGGGGGTGCTGGGTGCCTGGTGCACTGGGTGGCACAAGGCTTGGTTAATGCCTCAGAAGGCCTTAGCAGACCAGCATTACCTTCTGCTTGGGACATTTCTGGGCTGGGCTGCAGCCTGGCAGGGCTGGGGAGGGCCTCTGGAACCTTCTCCATCTCAGAGGGTTCTTGTGGCAACAGGTGGGGTCCGAGAAGCAGAAGGAGCCCTTTGTGTTTGCCTCGGTGCGGATCCTGGGTGCCTGGCTGGCCGAGGAGACCTCCTCCCTGCGTAAGGAAGTGTGCCAGCTGCTGCCCTTCCTCGTCCGCTACGCCAAGACCCTCTACGAGGAGGCTGAGGAGGCCAACGACCTTTCCCAGCA